TACAGATGGGACCTTAGCCTATTCGCCGATGATGCCTAATTGGAGTCATGATAAGCAAATGCGCGCATGTGTGTGAGTACAGTGTGTCCATGTATTACTGCCTCTTATGATCTTTAATACTCTTCTGGTCCTTAATATAATATCAATTTAACTAATTTGATTAGATTAAAAAAATTAAGTAAGTTAGTTAATTATAAAAAATGTGACACTTTTTTCCTAAAATACTATAATCATCTTTCTTAATACCCCATCTTCCTCTTCTACTTAATTATGGTTGAGGGAGTATCCATAAGGGTAATTTAGAAAAAATTGATAAATATGATAAATGGGTCTTATATTTAGGACCAAAACCAACTCAACAATTAGGTTATATATTAAGGACTGGAGGAGTATAGAAGTTATTTAGAAATTAAATTTGGTCTTAAATATAAGACCTTAATTTACTCTGTCTCTCAAATAGTCCTATTAATTATAAGGAGTTTCACTAGGAGAAAATTTCAATGGATATGATTAAAAATGATAGTTTAGAGATGTTAACAGATATTTGTTATAAAGTCAATAGACATTTGTTATAATTAACTAACTTAACTAATTTCTTTAATTTTACCAAATTAGTTTATGAGGGGATATAAATCCCAAAGAGAAATACATACCAGGTCAAATCCATGTTCGAATTCAGGTTACTCCTCCAAAGCTTCATGAGCTGATCTACTGGTGTTGACACAGAGTCTAGGCTACTAGAGCCTAAACTTGAGTGGCACAGCAGAAAACCACATAAGAGATAATAGAGAGAGAAGGACAGATAGCCATAAAACTCAATGGCTGGGGTGAAGGGAGATGAGTTGAGGCAACTCCTATTTATAGGGCTAGGGTGACCACCATTTCAGGAAGGAAAGTGTAATCTCGCTCATTTATTATAGGATAATATTCCGATTCACAATTGACCAATAATGTTTGATTTATTCCTCTTCAATTAATCAAGTTCTCAATATTTAATTGAATATTCCCTAATCAATTATTATTCTTGATTACTAATTGATTTCCTTCAATCAAAGAGAGTTTCCTCTCTTGGATCAAATAATCTAGTCCATCAAGGGCGAACTTAGAGCTAATGTCCAACAGTTTAATTGACCAAAAAAAAAATTGATAAAGGTGGCCACACATCCTCTGATTAAGATCTCATAGTATGCTTTTTTTGTTCCAGAAAAACTTGGTATTTCATACTATTAATAAGTTATATTAAAGAATATTAGACTCTCACTTGCTAGAAAAAAAGAATTATTAGACTCAACTTAGAGTCTATCATTCTCTAACATAGTTATTTGGATCTCAATTTTCCGTTAGGATTTCAAGATTCAAGCCAACCTTAATTAATGCTTATTTTTTTCGCCAACCATAATTAATACGTAATATACGCATTTGTATAAATAACAAGTAAGGCAACATTATAGTTGAACTTTAAACACTGTCACATACTCACATATAGTATTACATTTCACTATCAGATGAAGGAAGCAGCCTACAGCTACGAGGCTAAGGGGTCTGTTGGAATTTGGACATGCATTTGGACTAGCGTTGGTTGAGCTTCTAAAATTTTTTTGAATAAAGCTTTTAGTAAAGTATAACTGAAAAATAAAACAATAACCATCATGTTTGGTTCCTAATAAATTTTAGTAGGTATAACCATGATTTTGGGTTTCTAGCTAATTGAAGAAATTTTGGCAACTTAAACACAAATTCTCCAGTTTAAATTCATACAAATGCAAAAATATTCTTTTGAAAAATTATTCACCCAGTAATTTTTGAATCTAACCCAGTGTGATATTAAAAGAAAAATTAATTTTCGTAATTGAAATCCAGACCCATCTGATTAGGAGACAGTGTGGTGAGACATACGTACACTTTAAAGCAAAGTGCGTAGATACATATAGCGAGAGAGAGAGAGAGAGAGAGAGAGACTTGAGGGCTGAAGCTGTGGCTTCCTGTCACATTCCCTCGGTTGCGAGGGTTAGGTGGTCAAAAGTCTATGTTCCTGCCTGCACCCATCATAATCCCCCCTCCCACAAAAAAAATAGTAGATATAATTATGGAGAAGAATCTTGAATATATATGAAATTTTAATTTATATGAAATTCTAATTTAAAAAGCTAGTACTTGATAATGTCAAAATAACACCAAAATGGGAGGGAATTTTTTTTTGTGGAAGGAAAGTTTTTTCAATCGAAAATTGTTAATGCCTATTGAAATGTTGTCAATATCCATACAGGAGTAAGTAGTTAATTTATATATATATATTTATTATATTAATAACAAAATATTGGTAGCTCAATTGTTATGCTATATTTTGATCCAAAGTGGCCCTTTTAAAAAGAATTTCCCGCCACCGCCACCTTGTCGGCTGCTGGCCTAATGCTTCGGTTCTTGGCAAGGGATGCCAGTCGATCTCCGTTGAAGACTTGAAGGGTTGGGACTTTTTTCATCAAAGGTTCTTTTTTTGTTGCTATTTTATCATGACAATTTAGGTTTTCTTCTCATTTCGACATTACAAAGTATTAGCTTTTTAAATTGGGATTTTATATATTCAAGTTTTTTTGAACATTTTTTCTTAATTATATTTTGAGAAAATGACATTAAATAAATTTTGATATATGATGAGACAATATTTATTATGAAAAATTGTTAAAATTATAATCAGAATAAAAGCACCATGATATAATTAATCGATTAAATGCATAGCATGCGATATGCCGTACGTTTGTGCTGGGCGGCTTGTCTTTACTTCTTGTTTTTTTTTTGGTTTTTTTGGGCCTTTTACCTTTTCAATTCTTTCTTTCCTTCATTCAAACAATCAAATCAAAGAATATATATATTTATTTATTTTCTAAGTATATGTACCTTTTTGTTTGTGGCAATTTTTTTGTGACACGGTTAAATACTAAATGTAGGCACTTATCCAAATATATATTCAAAATTTAGTTCGTTATATTATAAGAGACTAATATTTCTGCTAGAGTCGATCTCATTGATAAGAAAATATACTATTTTATGGTTCTATACCATTTTGGTTTTATTTGCCCCCATTTTGTTGATTCCAAACAATTCTTATTGGGAAGCCATTTTTGTCATCCAACTTATCTACAAAGCAATAGGGTAGAGAGATGGATGGCATTTTTTTTTATTTTGCCAACTAGAGAGGGTGGGTATATGAATGCATGCAATGATGTACTTCTCCATCTTTGTGTGGTCTATTGACACAAGAGCTCTTTAAACAACAATTAATGTGTTTGCTTCTACTTATAACTTATAACTAAAAAAATTGATATGCCATTGATTCCTATATAAAAGTATTTTTTTTTAAAACGAATGAGCTAGCAATTCTCATTACAAGTCACTAAGTATATATTAACATATAATTTATGGTTTTAAATATGGATAATTTAAATTTTTCTATTTTTAAATAAATTTAATAATTTAATCACATTTGCTTTAATCTTACGAGGTGTTTGGACATGTTTAATTTTCTGGGAAAAAAAAAAGGATGTAAGAAAAAGAGAGAAGGGAATACATGTAAAAAGGGTTAAAAAGGCAGGCAAAAGGCATTGCTTACTGCAAGAGGGGCATCTCAGGATCTTTCATATCAATGTCACCAAGCAGCCTTCAGGATAGGAATGTGAAAACCGATAAAGTAATGCATCCATAAGATGCTTTCACGTCCAAAAAAATAAAAATAAAAATAAAAATGCTGTTTTTTGGGGGCAAAAAAGCCACAAAAATAGCATTTGAATTTCAAAAACTCAAAATGCCACCCCCATTTGCAAAATTCCAAATCAATCATAATGATAAATTGAAATTTTTAAATATTAATGAATTTACAATATTATCGTTTATGTCTTTTTTTTTTTTTAAAAAAAAAGAATCTCAAGTCAGCCTACTGACTAACTAGCTGTTATGGTTTCGGAGGCTGCTAATGACTGGTGGCAAAACTTCGACAACCAGTCATATAATGTGATTAATGATATTAATGCTAATCATATTATGAACGTTGAAAAAATCATGTAAGATTGTATATCTACACTCGCTTAATCTTATGAAAATTTTTCAATATTCGTAATGTGATTAACAATTTTTATAATGATATTTACAATTATACATCTACACTCGTTTAATCTTATGAAATTTTTATTTTTATTTCATTTAAAATAAAAAATTACTAAACTTACCAAATTTGACAGTTGCAGATTATATAATCATACACAATTGCTAGATTATTTATTTCACTTGTTATTTTCAAGGGTAAAGGCACCTTAACGAATTCCACTTTTACCATTTACCCAAAAAAAAAAAAGACCCTATGACCGAAAGAAATATTTAAGTTACGTGAAAAATTATATATCTCCTGACTTAAAATTAGTTTGTTGGTTTAGAATCATTTAAAATAGTGTCAAAATTTAAGATAAATTTTTTTCCATAATAAACTCACAAGCCTAGACACTAGGCCTCTCTATCACTTCCAAGTACATCGCATAAAAATTCAGGAGAAGAGCTAAAAGAAACAAAATCTAAGATAATTTAATACGAATATATCTAACTTAAAAATTATAAATTATAATAATCAATATCATAATGCATAATGAAATATGTACCAAGCCAAATTGTTCACAAAAACATAAACAACATAACTAAATGTCTAAATTTTTTATATTACAAGTAATTCCTTAGTGATGCAGTCCTGCATGTCCATTTATAATTTTTTTTTAAAATTTTTTTGTTAAGGTATAGGTTCGGCTTTGTGGGCCAGAAGCAAAAAAGGAGTATAGGCTTGGACGCTTGAGAGACAGAGAGAGAGGGAGAGAGAAAAGCCCAAGTAAGCTATTGGGCTTAGATTTTACATTGGGCTAGATATGGGCTTCATTGGCCCAAGAAAAAAGAGTGACGTGGCTATTCTAAAACCAGATAACGTAGAATCGCTTTCTGCTAAATTTCACCGTTGTCCTTCTTCCCTCCAAAGACGAACCAGTGAACTGCTGCTATAACTACTCTTCCCTTCCTCCTTTCTTCTCTTCCGAGATGGCTCTGAATTCAGTATCGCCACTATCTATTAAATCTCTTCACGTCTCTTCTACGTCTTCTAGGTCTCATTCAAAACCCTTTTCTCCCGTCTGCCAAATCAACTCAAACACTGGTGAGTACTAACTACATGTTTGTATGTTCAGTTTGTTCAGTTGATTGAAATTGCAAAAGATCGCTTTGATTTTGAGTCTGAGAGAGAATGGATTGGCTTCTGATGTTGCAGATACTAAGAAATGGGGAAAACTGGTTTCCGCCACATTGGCGGCGGCGGTGATTACCTTCGGCTCCGACCTAACAGCTCTTGCCGATCTGAACAAATATGAGGCTGAACTGAGGGGTGAATTTGGTATAGGATCCGCTGCTCAGTTTGGTTCTGCCGACCTCAAGTTCGTTTCTTGAGAAATTTTGAATTACCCTTTTTTTTGGTCATGCTAAACTCGAACTTCTGAAATGCGTCGCTCGTTTTTTTTGTTTATTTTTGTAGGAAAGCCGTTCATGTGAATGAAAATTTCAGGTAAATGACCCAACCTGCTCTTTTGATATAGGCGGGACTCTCGATAGAGGCAAGTACGAGTATATTGTATCGTTTCTTGATAATTAGATTCGAAGATTATCTCTTTTTAACGTTCATAACAAATTTTTTAAATTAATCTCTACTTAATCATGTTTTTAAATGAAACATGATGCAGGATATTTAGATGTTGAGGTTAACATGAAAGATGTCGATTCTATGATTCTTTTTCTTTTTATATCTCATTATAAAATTATATGTCATATATTTTGGTTCTAAAAGTAGGAGTTAGATAACTAATTTATATAGAAATGAGTTAAATTACTTATTTGTAATAAAGATATCTTGGTTTCCTAAAATACTTCATTTTATCATCTGCATAGAAAATTACCTCACAGGTGAAAAGCCCCTTCACTATGTGCAATTAATAAGATTGTTTGGGAAAAAATTTAAAATTGTTGAGGCAAAGTGAATTCAACTTTTTTTATTTAGAATTTCTAGCTCTTATATTTAAGAGTAGAGTGGGTGTTATTTAAATAAAGCATTAGAATTTAAAATAATTTACAATTATCTTCCTTATTTCATGTTAGTGGTGGATGATTATATTATAACGTAACTAATGTTTGACTCCAATATGAGAAATGACAAGTTAGCAACTTGAATATCTCCCAATTAAAGGTGTCTTATTTCTAACATTGATATGTGAAATTATGAAGACTTTCATGGGTATGCTCAAACTGTGGAAGTTAAGAGTGAGAACTGAAAGCATATTTTTAATGTATTACTGGTATTTATTAATTAGATAGTAACTAGGTGGAGGGGGCCAAAAGTATCAACAATAATATAAGTAAAAAGAAAAATGAGGGAAAAATAGGATCACGGGAGAAAAAAATTAAAAGTCAAAATTTAAAAAAAAAAAAAAACTGAGAGAATAACAAATTATATGTGTGGATTTAGGTCCATGGTTTTTTTATTTGGGTCCATGAATAATTTTTTCTTGCTTTTTTTTAAATTTGGGTCCATGAATAATTTTTTCTTGTTTTTTGGTGGCTACTACATTTGTAAATTAAGTGAGAGATACATGCAATCGATTTAGAATTTCAAGGGATATATAGGGATATAATGTCAAATTTGAATTTTATAAACATACGAAGTTTTAAAAATTCGAGGGAGATACTCATTGATCTATCCAACCTCAATCTAGTGAGGCCCGCTGATGAATATGTTTAGACAGAAGACCAAATTAAGAAGAGTGAAAAATGAAAACGAGCTTGATTCCATTTTGCAGATTTTGATAGATGATAAAGAGTCAAAATTACAAATTGGTGCCCTATCTCGTTTCAGCTGTCTTTCATTTCTTCCACAAATCTTCCTTCTATCCTTCAACAAATTACAAACCTGAGTAGTTTCCATATTTATCTTTTACTTTTTTACCAAGTGAAAATTGAGAAATGTCAACTTTTATCAGAAAATCACATTTATAACGTATTATTTTGGAATCTAACAAAGTGGGGATTTAGTGAAGTCCTGTATTTATGATCATTCTAAATGACTGATACAGAAGAGCCAATTTCACAGCTGCTGATATGAGGGAATCTGATTTCAGCGGTTCAACTTTTAATGGCGCATATCTTGAGAAAGCTGTCGCATACAAGGCAAATTTTACTGGTATATACTGCTTTTTGTAAATCCGAAGATTGTGACTTCATCATCATATTTGAATGGCTTCCCAAGAATCATTGCTTCATATATACATTCATGCATATGTAGAAATATGAAACTGGTTTATTCAACTTGTATAAAAATGCCCAATAACAGAGGTGTAAAATTAAAGAAAAAGGGTAAGATGACTTTGCGGTGTGGGATGACGCGAGGGGGCCTATCTACCAGGAAGTATAAATACAAAACAGAGTCAAGAAACTTGATAATATTGCTTGAAGCTTGTTTGGTTCTTGGTCTGGCCAACGGAGATGGTAACATATCTTTTGTAATCATTATAAAAGGTTTTGTTTACTTCTTCACCGACTTCTTTTCTGAATGTCAAGGTCAGTCACAAGCAAAGTTTTGTTTCTTAAAAAAATTTTCAAATTTGTCCTAAAGTCTTTGTATGTTCCTTGATTACACCATTCATGCATATCCAACAGAATGATAAATACCTGACGTACATATGTCATGCTTTTCGTTGTTCTTGATGTTGTTGTTGTTATTGTTGCCAATACTTGCTCAGCTAAAATTCAAATACTTATCTCTGCAACCGATGCCTCAACCTCAATATATTGTCTATTCTTGCAAGGTCTTAATTAGAACCCACTGCACAACCAATTCCACGCACCCTATTTAGGCCACTTGTTTCCTTAACCACCACCAACATCAAGCTCCTAAAGCCTTTCCATCAGTAACACTTTTTGCTTCACAGAATTGAGGCTTGCCAAGAGAATTGGTGTAAACATCGTGAAGAAGCACACAACCCAACAATTGCTACACCATCTCCCTTTAGTATATATGTTTATCTGTGTCTCGTGGATCAAAAGGTCCAAGTTCAAGATGCAAATGGTGGGTTGTAGAAAGAGGTACTGGGCTGTCTTTTAGAATAGATTGGGGAGTACTTCAAGGATGAAATGTTGAAGAATTGAATAGGCTTGGGCTGCAAAACTCAGTGAGGTTAGACATGGGCACCAGAGAATTTCAATTATTGACCCTTGTCCTATACATCAGAGAAACTAAGTGAGGTTTGAGGGGGAAGCATGGGTTGATAAGGAAATAATGCTTGAATATTCAACCATTTCATTTGAGTACTCTAGGGGGTGTTCAAGGCCGGACCGTCCCGGTCGGCCTGTTTCGGTCCCGGTCTTATTGGGACGGGACGGATCCAGCCCGAAATTTTTCAGGACGGGACAAAAAAGGAACTGGGACGGGACAAGACACGGGACAACCCCGTCTCGTCCCGTTCCTTTTTTTTTTTAATTTTTTTAAAATTTTTATCCTATTTATATAATATCATTTTTTTAATATTTTTTTAAGATTTGAGACTATTGTATGGAACTATGGATATATTTATCTAGAGTTTTTATATTTGTTAATGATTTGAGATTATTGATGATTAGAATTTTTAGTAAGTTTTTATTGTGTTAAAAGTTTTTGTTTAGAGTTTTTAATGACTATTATATGTAATATTTTGAGCTTTTGTTAAAGAGTGCCCAAAGAAATAAAAAAGAAAATAAAAAGATGTTTTTATAAGGTTTAAACCCAAAAAAATAAAATTAAAAAAATCAGATTTTTTTAAAAAAATAAAAAAATAAAAAAAAAACTTCGGGACGTCCCGGTCCTGTCTTGTCCCGATCGGGACCGGGACAACCCCAGGACGGGTCGGGACACAGGACAGATTTTCTGTCCTGTTACTGTTCATCGGGACGGAACTGGGATGGGCCTGTCCCGGTCCCGATTCCGATCCGTCCCGTGAATACCCCTAGGTACTCATACGCACACACTCGTCCAGTCCTTAAGGTCGGATTTAATTGGGGAGTTAATGTTGGTTCTATATATAAGATTTATTTCACATGTTTATTAATTTTTTCTGAAATTAACCCTATTGATATTCCCCCAATAATAATTAAGTAGGAGGAGGAGAGAGGAAACTACAAAAGATGCTCAGGGTGTTTTGTTTTTTTAAAAAGTCATTAATCATTAATTAATTTAACTAACATAATTTAGTCAAATTTGTTAATTAGATCTTACATCAAAGACTGGAAGAATATGCGTATATACATATGATGTGCTCCTAAGTTCTATTACCTAACAATCAATCATCATGACTCTAAATTTTGTTTTGATATTCTGCAGGTGCTGATTTAAGTGATACATTGATGGATCGAATGGTAAATTAATCATCCGAGAAATTTTTAGTTTTATCAGTGTTTTTTAATATTAAATTAATTATCTGACTTCATGGGGTCGCTAGGTTCTTAATGAAGCTAATCTCACAAATGCCATCCTAGCTAGAACAGTCCTTACACGTAGTGACCTTGGAGGTGCCGTCATTGAAGGGGCTGACTTCAGTGATGCTGTTTTGGATCTTCCCCAAAAGCAGGTAATGCCTTTAATTGAATGTACTTCCACTCTTAGGCATATTAATCTTACCTTCGTACTAATGATTTCTGTACCATCTACCTCATTATCTATATAATAGGTAGCCATGGATCCCAGCTTCCAGTTGATTCGCAATTTGCAGCCGGCTTTCTGATTATGCTGATTCTTTATGTGTATTGTGATATTTACTGGATCAGTTAATGAACAGGATACTTGTTTTGTGTAGGCTCTATGCAAGTATGCCAGTGGCACAAATCCTGTAACAGGAGTAAGCACGAGAGCGAGCTTAGGTTGTGGGAACAAAAGACGAAGTGCGTATGGTTCTCCATCATCTCCATTGTTAAGTGCTCCTCCTCAGAAACTGCTTGATCGAGATGGTTTCTGTGATGAATCAACTGGTCTTTGTGATGCAAAATAGTTGTTTGGACGTTGGAGCATGAAGTTGTTAAGATGCGGCAATATCCATATTGTGTACATACATACTTATGTATTATTAGAGATCCCAATTGCAGCATCTGAGGGCTTTGGAACAACACATCCACTGTAATAATATGATATCTAATCAATTATTCTATTTGAAAACTATTGAGTTGAAATTTCTTGCACTGTCATTAAAATACCTGTTGATTTTCCGTTAAATCGCTTACATATATTTTCGCTTGAGCAGGGTTAAATGTTTTTGCAGAGTTGCCGTTGTTTAAGGCCCTACTTAGGGTCCAGTTTCTCTTTGCAGTGTGAAAAGACAAACAAGTTGAGCCCACCGAACAAGCCCGCTTTTTGTCCTCATCTGTTCGTGAAGTAGGCCAGGAGATGAGTTTGATACCCATTGCTGTGAAAAGATGAAATTTATACCATTCAAATTTAATTTTAATGGTTCACATACAATAGTTTAACTAAACTAAAAAAAGAAACACTTCTTGATAAAAGACTGACTATTAGGAAACTTCGTTTTACCATCTTTAGCTAAGTTGGTCATAACTGACTTTTTTTTTCCTTCCCTTTTTTGAATGAGAAAACTGGATACAGACCAAAACAATAAGGTCAGGTTGATAGCCTCCATTTATGAAAGGGCGTTGGTCATCACTTTCAGTTCATCTTTAGCTGAGTTGGTCATCATCAACAATGTCCTTGAAAGGGTGTTGGCCATCACATCCCCTGATGATTAGGTTGATAGCCTCCAAGTTGTTAGAGTCTGGGACTTCCTTAAAAGTCTTGTTCCAGCACAGGTTAAGGCCATGAATGATACCGATCATCTTCGTAATCGTTGGGGGGGGGAGGACATTGGTGAGTTTACAGCTAAAAACACAATCCAATTATCTGCTTCGTCTTGTATTACTCCTCTGCAACCACTTCTTCCATCCTCTAAAACAAAACCATCCACTGCTAGCTTGATCGCTCCATCTATATGCATAGCACTTCGCCCCTCATTTGTTTCATTGAAATTATAAAACTTGCAGTACTTCAAGAGATCTTGATATAGACATTCTTTGGAAAAACTAGAAAGCCCGTTGCTAGGATTATTTGTGTAGGTGTGTTCAAAAGACGATTGTATCTAGCACCCAGATATCCCAACAGATATAACCAAAGAGGGTAGCCCACGGAATCTTCTTAGTCTGGTCGCTCTCCGCTTCCTTGGTAAGGTTCCAAGTAACCTACTCTGCTTCTTGATTGGATAAGAAGGTGCTCCACATCGAGGGCTTGATTACTAATTTCCACTTGTCCCTTGCATTAACACACTCACGAAGAAGGTGCATAGAATTTTCCAGCTAGCTACATCCAAAAGGGCAATTTGACTCCAATTGAATGCCTCTGTTTACTCTCACTTGTGCCATGTGGACCCTATCATGAACAGAATAGCCCCATAAGAGGCTTCACCTTCTCCTCCATCTCCATACGCTCCCCTCTAGTTGGTTGGTACCTATAGAAATGAAAAAATATGTAGACTTTATAGTAAAGATACCACTAGTAGACGGTTTTCATAAAAGTTTATCTTCTCCTCTCTCCTCTTAGGGTGGGTGTGCACAAGTAATTTGATCCACAATGTGAGGATAGAACCATAGAAGAAGCTTTTGTCTGTCCCAATCTCCCCCAATCGTCACATAGTCAATCACACGCCCCTCTCTACTAATCATCGTTTCAAGCCCAGGAATGAGATCAATTAAAGTAATGTTGATTTTGGACCAGTTTTCAAACTAGAAAGAAGTAGAAAGTCCATTGCCAATTTTCCTTCCCACTCCATTCTTAAACTATTTCTAAACTTCACAAATTCCCTTCCAAGTAAGAGAAGAGTTGCGGGACTTTTTCACCTCCGGCATATCAGAATTGCCATGCCGGTACTTTGATCTCAAGACTTTGACCCACAGTGCCTCCTTTTTGCTAATAAGATTCCAACAAAGCTTCATGATGTAGGCTTCATTTTGTTTTCTCAAGTTCCTTAAGCCCAGTCCCCCTTTTTTCTTATCACGAAGAATTTGATCCCAAGAGATAAGTTGCATTTCGTCTTCATTCTCTCCCCATAAAAAAAACTCCTACTTGGCTGTTCTAATTATCCCAGGAGCTCTTTATGGAGAAATCTAGTTTGAATGTGGTGAGAGGGAAGGGCTAAGAGGATTGCTCTAATGAGAATTGTTCGTCCTGCTAAGTTAAGACAGTTGCGTTTCCGTCTCGAGAGTCTTTTTATGTCTTTTCTAGTAGGGGGTGCAAAGTTGATGTAGGACACTCTTCCATGGATTAGATGAATTCCCAAGTACTTGCTGAGATCACTTGTAAATCCTACTCCCATCTTTTGGCTTGGATCTATAGCCCTTGAGGAGTGCACATTTCTGGAAAAGCATATTTTTGTCTTTGCCTTGTTCATTTTCTGACCAGAAGCAGCACAAAACGAGTTCATGCAATTCATCATTGCTTCAACGTGAAAACTGGTAGCTTCACCAAAGAGAAACAGATCATCCGCAAAGAACAAGTGAGATATGCAAGGTCCTCTGGAGTTCCTCTTAATTGGGGGCCAATATCCGTCTTCAATAGCATCTAGGATAACATGATTCAGTTTGTCCATGCATAAAGTGAAGATATAAGGAGAGATAGGGTTTCCTTAGCATATGCCTCTTGTCAGAGTAAAACATTCAGTTTACTGACCATTCCAAAGAATTTTGAAGGAGGAGCTGGTAATACATGCCAATATGACATCACAAAGTTTATCACATACACCAAATTGTATTAAGGGTGTCTTTGATGAAGGGCCACTCTAATAGGTTTTTTCAAGATCAACCTTAGCAGCCAACCACCATACTTTCCCTTTTTTCAGCTTCATTGAATGTATAATCTCTTAGGTGATAATGATATTGTCACTACTTTGGATGATAATAGCTGATTTTTTAGTGACAAATGCTCATAGAATACATTTTTTTTTTTTTTTGTATCCTTGATCAAGCTTCACCTTATTTAGAAGTGGTGGATTTTGATGAGGGATAGTAATTTTGTATTGGTTTTGACGATTTGATTATCAATGTTTTCAGTATTATAGGAAAAAAAAGTACTTTTCAGATTTTATATTTATTTAAATAAACTTTTTAAAAAATATAAAACTAAAAATTAAATAGAATCTGGATAATTAGTTTTGATCTGATGGTGCAGATTTGCTTTAAATTCATGTAAGTAGATGCACACGCGCGCACACACATATCTATATATATGAGATTTGGTGGCTACATTATGCTATAGCTTCTCTGCTTCTTCAGAATCTCATCCTCCCATATTGATGCTTCCAATTTGCTTTCTTCCCATGAATTATAGTGCAGAAATTTCAGACTGCACAAATCTATTGCATCTTGAAAGACATGGGATGACTGTAGGTAAGCATATTTTGTCTTTTAACAGAACCGATACAGGAAGTTCAATTCCAAAAGAGATTCTTACACTAAAAGACAGGACCGCAGATGAAAACTCACTGCATATGGGTAATTTATCCAATATGTATAATACTACAGTCCTTAATATAATATTTAGTTGACTAATTTGAAAAAATTAAGTTATTTTAAAGTATTTATATTTATCATTTTTCTCCAAACTAATTTGCCTCACTTATAAATTGATATATTACCTTCGGTTCTTAATATAAGAGCTTGTTTGGATTTTAATTTGGTCATAAACATAAGACCCCAATCTATTTTATTTTACATATTTATCTTTTTTTTTTTTTAAGTAGTCATTGTACTAGTTGCAAATGTTAAAGATTTCATCAAATCCTAATAGATATGATTAGCAAGGTACTCCTCGGGTCTTAAATATAAAACCTTTATACACACTAGTATAAGGGTCTTATATTTAAGACCAGAGGAGTATTTAGGAAAGACAACACATATTTAATACAAATAAATAACTTAACAAACTTTCTTAATATATTTAAATTAGTTAACTAGCTTTTATATTAAGAACTGGAGGTAGTATCATCTAACAATACACATAAGTGTTTTAAAGAGATCATATAACATATGCTATAATTAAGTAATTTAATATATTCTTTAATATTTCTAAATTACTTAACTATGTTTTATATTAAGGACCAAATGTAGCAGCATTAAATAGCTTATAGCTGCAGCTTGATAACCTTAATTACATCACGCCACATATGGATAAATACATGTTTTTATTATTATTTGCAAATTACTAATATGAAAGATTAATTAAGACACGCATATATCATTTAAGAACAACCGAAGGTAGTAACTTGTAAGTTTATCAAGTGAGATCCGTTTGTTGAACCTTATAAAGTGGCAAGTGTTGATGAAAATCCTTTAAACTTTCTGTACGCATATATTTGTGATGATATAAGAGAGTCCTTAGAAGCGAAGATCAAAAATTAGAAGAAAAGCAACTTTGCAAGAACTGAATATTGCCAAGACACAAACTAGTGATATTCCCAACAAGAAATCAATCGAGTTGCTTGCTCTTTACTTTTCCCTTATATTGTTGAAATATTGTAAAGGAGTTTCTCGTAATTTTGCTCTGTGATGATAAACCCTTTTCAAATGGACCCACAAACTAACCAAGAAAGAATATGAAACATGAATAATAAACTGCGAATCTCTGTCTCCTTTACGGCTGTTACCAAGACATAGGAATTATGAAATGTGTCGTGTTGGCGTGACATATATGTGTTTTAGTTGGAACATCGTTTGATGGTACATTGGTTTGGACCACCATGGATATATGGATATGATGAATGATGATCTCCGCCTGAAATATGAACAACCACTTCATGTGCTTTCGTCACCGCAAAGTTTTCTCGATCATAATTTGCTGCCTCCCACTTTCCATCAATACATATTTATAATTGTGTTTCGACTTTTAATTCAAAGAATCTGCCTCCCTTACTTCTAGGAAAAAAGACAGTAAAATATCCTCAAAATTACTAAATGACAAATTAGGGTAGGTAAATTTTAAAATTCCAATTCAGACCCCAGGTACCATTTTGGAATTTTCAAATCTTGTAAAATTACACAAATGTCCTTTACCTTTTTTTTTATACTTTTTTTTAAATACTGCCACATCAGCAATTCGGTCGCCGGAGCTCCGACACCGGCGACCCTGCTGGTGACCAACCACCGGAG